TGTCCCCGAGAGCCGCCCTCCCCCCACTGCCCCTGCCCAGCGCCTGCGGCTCCGCTCCAACCCACCCCATCCCGGGAGACACAGATGGCAATGGGGGGGACACTGGGAAACAATTCCAACACCTCTTTTCAAACCTCTGACACCTGCTTCCCAGACATTCCCAAAGAAGGGGCTTCCCGTGGCCTCGAGCCAGGGACCGACCTTTGTATTGAACCAACTCCTGGAGAGACACGTTCCCATCCCTGTCCCCATTCCCATTCCTGGGCTTCCCATCCCTCTCCCCATTCCAATTCCTAGGGTTCCCATCCCTCTCCCCATTCCCACTTCCTGCTGTGCCAACCTGCTCCCAGTGTCCCCGTTCCTGTCCCCACTATCCCTATCCTGGTCTCCCATGTCCCCATTCCCATTCCCGATGTCCCAATTCCCATTCCTGGTGGTTCCAACCTGCTCCCAATGTCCCCACTCCCATTCCTGGAGTTCCCATGCCCATTCCTGCTGTCCCCAACCTGCTCCCAGTGTCCCCATCCCTGTCCCCAATGTCCCCATCCCACTCCCCCCTGTCCCCATTCCTATTCCTGGTTCCCACAGAGGAACTGCCGGATGCCGGAGGAGGGAGCCAGGATTTATTGCCCAAAGCAGGAGATTTTCACACCCAAATTAAAGCCTCCGGAATAATTGTGGTCCTGGGTTTCACATGGGAAAAAGCAGGAAGTTGATCCATCGGGAAGAGCCGCAGGGGGGTCGGGGTGGGTGGGAGCAGCGGGATGAGCTCTGCCATCAGCTCCAGCCTTTCTACAGGGAGAGGGAAGGGGCGGATCCAGCTCCAGGATTGCTCAGGCTGTGATTCCTGCTGGGATGAGAGCGGGGAAAGGAGTCACCATGTCCCTGTTCCCATCCCAGGGGATGGAGCCAGCTGTGGAGCCCAGGGAGAGTAGGAACTGCTCCGGAATCCCACCTGATCCTGCTCTGTCCATCCCACCCCAATCCCGCTCCATCCATCCCACCCCAATCCCACTCCAGAATCCAGCCCTGATCCCAGTCCACAATTCCAACTGATCCCACTCTGGAATCCTGCCCTGAGCTGGAATCCCCTTCCAATCCCGCTCCAGCCATTAGGCCCCCATTCCCCTCTGGAATCCCAGCATCCATCCTGGGATCCCTGCCCAGAGGATCTGGATCCACACACGCTGCTGGGACTCACTGGTGGGTGCGGGGTCGTATCCATTCCCCTCCCTCTTCCCTATGGAAAGAAAGTGGGATCAGCACCCGTGGCACAGGATCCCCGGAATGCTGCCGGGCGGATCCGTGCCCCTTCCCGACCCCCATCCCGGGAGTTACCGGATCGGAGCTTCCAGACACCGACTCCCATGAGGCCGATGATGATGATGATGGCAGCGATGACGGACACAGCCACCCACACCGGGATGGAATTCCAGACGGATTCCGGCTCTGGGAAGGGCAGGAGGGGGAGGAGGGGGAGGGTTACCCCCATCCCGCTGTCCCACACTCCCAAATTCCCCTTTCCCAAACCCCCAGTTCCCACATTGCCCGTTCCCAGCCTCACCCCAGGCGAAGATCCCGGGCTCCGGCATTCCGGCGTGCTCCACCCGGCACCGGTACTGCTCCCGCTCCCCCGGCAGCGCCTCGATCCTGGCCCAGCTGTGGAAGGTGCCGTCGCTGTTGGGCACGATCCCGCCCCACTCCGTCTCCTGATCCCGCAGTTCATCCCCCTTCAGCCAGTTGATCCCGATCATCCCGGGGTAGAATCCGTACGCGTGGCAGGACAACGTCAGGATCCCGTGTTCCACTTTCCCAGACACATGGACATCGGGGGGCTCTGGAATGGGATAACGGTGAGATCCATCCATGGAATTCCCATGGGAATGGGACTGGAGTGAGATCCATCCACAGAATTCCCATGGGAATGGGACAACAGTGGGATCCATTCATGGAATTCCCATGGGAGTTGGATGACTCAGATTCATCCATGGAATTCCCATGGGAATTCCCATGTTCCTCAGTTCCACCCTCCCAAATCCCACATTCCCAAATGCCACATTCCTATGGGAATTGTGTCTCCCTCACCTTTGCACTCCAGCGCCTCCCGCCCATATCTGACGTATTTCTGGAGCCATTCCACACAGCTCTGTGCCAGGTTAGGCTGAAGAGCCTCGTACCCTTCGGATTTCCATTTCCTCTGGATGATCCGGGCAGCTCCATCGGCCGCCATGAAGGTCCCGGTCTCCGGGGAGAAGGAGATGAAATCCCGCCCGTCGATGCCGTGCCGAAGGGTTCTGCGGACACTCCCGTCGGACAGGAGGTCACAGCCAGAAAGCTGCTGCACTGTGTGGAGACCTGGGGGGTGGGATCGGATCCATGGAGACCCTGGAATTCCAGCCCTGTGGAGCCCCAGAGTCTGATGGAGACACACAGAGCCTCATCCCAGCCTTTGGAGCGCCTTGGATCCACATCCCAGCCCCACACATCCCATCCCATTCCCCAGCTCCCCCCACTCACCCCCACTCCAGTTGTACCAGCCCCGTGCTATCTCCAGGTTGTCGGCATCAATGAACCGGTTCCTCTCATTGATCTGGGTCTGTCTATCCCAATATCCCGGCTCGGCTCCGGCCGCCATCCACGGCGTCAGCGGCTCCAGCCGGTCCCGCTCGCTGTCGTAGCGCACGAAGGGGATCCCGTCCACGTATCCCATGGACAGGAATTGAGGGATCCTCGGGCTGGGCTCCGTCACTGCCACATCCAGGTAACGCAGGGAGTGGAGAACTGGGGGGACACGGAGATTTGGGGGGTCTGGGGGTGTCCATGGGTCGAGAAAAGGGGGAACTGGGAGAGCTGGGAGAGCTGGGAAGGGGGCTTGGGGATCCCAGGGAAGTTGGTGCAGGGGGTGTCAGTGCTGGGGTAGGGGGTGCCAGGGGTCCCACTGCACGGGATTGAGGGTTCAAGGAGGTCCCAGCATCAGGGAAAAGGGGGATACGGGGATTGGGAGAGGTGGAATTGGGGGGTCCAGGGGGTCCCTCTGCCCAGCAAAGGGGGCCCAGAGGTCCCCAGGGTTGAGGAAACAGGGTGGGGAAATGTGAGATGGCCGGGAATGGGGGTCCAGGGTGTGCCAGGATCAAGGAAAAGGGGGCATCTGGGAATTGGGAGAGGTGAGATGGTCGGGAAATGGGCTGCAGGGGGGTCCCAGTGCCCAATAGGGGCGTGCAGGGGGTCCCAGTTGCAGAGAAGGGGGTTCAGGGGGGACTGGGTGGTGGATAAGGGGGTTCAGGGGGGTCCTTGTGCCCAGGAATGGAGGTTCAGGGGGGTCCCAGGGTCAGGGGAAGGGGGGTGAGGGCACTGGGAGAAGTGGGATGGAGGTTCAGGGAGTCCCTGTGCCCAGGAAAGGGAGGTCCAGCGGTCCCCAGTGCTGAGGAAAGTGGGGTCTGAGGGCTGGGAAAGGCGGGAATGGGGGTCCAGGGTGTCTCAGGGAGAAGGAAAAGGGGGCTGTGGGGACTGGGAGAGGCAGGATGGCTGGGAAAGCAGGTGCAGGGGGGTGTTGGTGCAGGATAAGGGGGTTCAATTGGGTCCTGGAGCCGGGGATGGGGGTTCAGGGGGATCCCAGTGCCCAGGAATGAGGGTTCAGCGGGGTTCCTTCCCAGGAATGGGGTTCAGGGGGGCTCCCAGTCCCGGGAATGAGGGTTCAGGAGGCCCCAGTGCTGGATAAGAGCATTTAGGGAAGTCCAGGTGTTGGGGCAGAGGGTCAACAGGGAGGTCCCAGTGCCAGGAAATGGGGGTTCAAGGGGGTCCCGGTGCCCAGGAATTGCGGTCAAGGGTGTTCCCGGTGCCTGGGACCCCCCTGCAGGAAGCACAGGGAGTGGAGAACTGGGGGGGTCACAGAGATTGGCGGGTTCGGGAGGTTCAAGGGTCAAGGAAAAGGGAGGATCAGGGGGCTGGGAGAGGTGGGATTGTCAGGAAAAGGGTCACAGGGGGGTATTTGTTGAGAATAAGTGGGTTTGGAGGGGTCCTGGAGTCGGGTATGGAGGTTCAGGGGGTCCTGGTGCAGGATAAGGGGGTTCAGGAAGGCTTCCGTGCCCAGGAATGGAAAATGGGGGGTCCTGGTGCCGGATAAGGAGGTTTAAGGGGGTCCCGGTGCAGAGGGACAGGGTGCAGGGGGGTCCCAGTACCCGGAAATGGAGGTTCAGGGGGGTTCCCATGCCCGGGAATGGGTGTTCAGGGAGGTCTCCTTCCGGGAATGGGGGCTCAGGGGGTTCCCGTGCCCAGCAATCGGGATTCAGGGGGTCCCGGTGCGGAGGGAGAGGGTGCAGGGGGGTCCCGGTGCCCGGAAATGGAGGTTCAGGGAAGTGTCGGTGCCCGGGAATAAAGGCTGAGGAGTTGCCCGTTCCGGGGGTCCCACTTACCCTTCGGCTGCCCCCCCGAGACCGCCAAGACCCCCAGGAGCGCCAGGAGCGCCCCCAGCCCCAGCGCTGGAGCCAGCGCGCTGCTCCGCTGGCCCCGCTGGGCGCAGTTCGGGAGACGCGAAAGCGAAAGTGGCCGAGGGAGCGCGGGGGGCGGGCCCGGGGGAATTGCCGGGAATGCCCCGGGATCCCCTTCGGGACCCCTCCCGGCACCGGCCCGGGTCCCCCCGCCACCCCCGGGCCCCCTGGACGGGCCCGAGCGGCGGGACCCCCGGGCCGGGCCGAGCTGAACTCGCGGGCCCTGCGCTTAAACTCGGCCTTAAAGGCGCCGCTTTGGGGCCAAAGCGGGGGAAGCGCCGCGATCAGCGGATGCCGCGGGGGCGGGGGGCGATCGCCCTGGGCCAGTGCCCGCCCTGGGCAGCCCCCACTGCCCCCCGCAGGGGTCCCGGGGTCAAGGCAAAGGGGGGCTCCCAAACCCCTGCCATGGGGGAGCGGGAGCTGGGGCAGGAGCTCCGTGGGGAGAGAAAAGGGGGGGACAGCGGGATGGGGGTCCCGGGGGGGCACACACGCTCCGGGGGGGACACACGACCCCCGGGGACCCCGCTCAGCTCCTCCCGCAGGCAGAGGCCGAGCCCCAGCCCAGGGAGACGAAGGCAAAGACGGAGCCCCGACCCCCGTCAGCATCTTGGGGGGGCGGGGGGGGCAGGACCCGGGAAACGGCGGCGGCTGCTGGGAAGGGACCGGGACGGACTGGGATGGACTGGGACAGACTGGGGTGGACTGGGACGGACTGGAATGGACTGGGACAGATTGGGACAGACTGGGATGGACTGGGACACCGGGATCACAAGGACCAGGACCCAGCAGGACCCCCCAGGAGCAGGATCTGAGCACACTGGGACCCTCCAGGACCAGAACTGGGGCAACAGGGATCATACTGGGAACGTGTTGGGACCACACTATAGGCTACTGGAAGCAAATGGGAGCATGCTGGAGGCCACATGGTGTATACTTGGATATATTGAGAGAGACTGGGATCCTACTGGCAGAAACTGGAACCTCATTGGGGCAACTGGATGTGCCTGGGAATGACTATGAGCCTGCTGTGGGCTCTACTGGGCTATACTGGGAGTGTCTGTAACCATAGTGGGGGGGACTGGGACCACACTGGGAGCAACTGGGATCATGTGGAGGGGAACTGGGACCATACTGGGGATGATTGGAAGTGTCTGTGAGTAACACGGTTCATGCTGGAAGTATTGGGAAACTGGGAAACTGAGAATGAGTGGGACTCACTGGGGGAAACTGGGAGAGGCTGGGGCTAACAGGGATCATGCTGGGACTGAGTGGGAGCATGCTGGGGGTGACTGGGATACACTGCCTAAAGCCCCTCTGTGTGGCCCCACAACCAGCAGTGCTGATGAGACCCTTGGAGCTCTCTGGGGCCGCAGCAGCTGCAGGGACTCTGCTCCAGCACGGGCTTCCCACGGGCTCACATCCTTCTTTGTGGGCATCCCCTGCTCCGCCGTGGGCTCCTCCTTGGGCTGCAGGGGAATCTCAGCTCCAGGCCTGGAGCACCTCCTGCCCCTCCTCCTGCACTGCCCTGGTCACTCCCACTATCATCCCAGTCACTCCCAGTCACTCCCAATTGGATCCCAGTTGCCCCAAGGTGGTCCCAGTTGCTCCCAGTCCCCCCCACGATGGTTCCTTTCCCTCTCAGGGACTCCCAGTCTGAGTCCAGAATGGCCCCAGGCACTTTCAGTCACTGCCTGGAGGAGGCCATTTGCCCCTGCATGGTCCCAGTTGCTCCCAGGATGATCCCACTATGAGTCCAGTCACCCCCAGTATGATCCCAGGAACTTGCAGACACTTCCAGTATGAATCCAGTTTGATCCCAGTCATCCCCAGTATGGTTGCAGTGCCTCTCACATACTCCCAGTATTACTGCAGTCACTCCCAGTATGGTCCCAGTATGAGCCCAGCAGGGGCCCAGCTGCTCCCACTCTGATCCCAGTTGCCCCCAGTGTGGTTGCTCCAGGATGGATCAGGAATGGGGACCCCTCTGTGCCCCCCCCTTGTGTCACCCTGTTCTGAGGGAGCTTTGGGGGGACATCTGCACCCCAACACGGCATCCAACACATCCCAAAGTGTCCTGGGACCCCCTTGAACCTGGGAATTGAGGGGAACCATGGAAAACCCTTCTCAGAGAGAAAATTGGGTGATCTGAGTCCTGGATGCTTTTAGTAAAGAGGTCTGAACATTTCTTGAAGAATGGAGGGGGGTGACTCTTTTATTCTTGACCTTTCCAGTTCTCCATTTGGGGACAGGATGTCCTCTGGGCCAATGTTTTGTTCCCTTTGCAGTGAGTGCAGCCTCAGAGGGCTGAGCCCTCTCTGGCTGGGCTTGGCCTCTCCTGCAGAGACTCAGGCCTGGCTGGGCTGCCCCAGGCAGACGCTGCAGGAAGAAGAGCTCAGGCCGCCTGGCTCTGGTGTCCCTGGGGCTCAGCCTGTGCCCCATTGCTGGGCAGGGGCTGAGCCCCACCTCTGCCTGGGGGCCTTGGCCAAAGGGCTGGCAAGGAAGAGGCCCAGCAGCCTTGGGGCCTGCCCAGCTTTCCTCCTCCCTGGGGGCTCTCAGTCCTCCCCTGACACCGTGTGGGCCCAAGGCCTTGCTGGCTTCGGGCTCACGGCCCGCCGGCCCCATCCCAGCGGCCTGACCCCCCTCCTTCCCCTCTCTCCAGCCTCTCCTGCCTTTGCTGGCAAGGGGCCATCCAAGGAAAAGCCCGGTTCTCAGCAATGGCACCTGTGGCACGGCTGCAAGGCTCGAGTGGGCCAGGCAAGAGCAGGAGCAGCGAGAGCCTGAGGAGCCAGGAGATGCCCTGGCTGGGCATCGTGCTGCTGCGGGACGAGCTGACACCTCTGCACAGTCTCTGCCCGTCCCTGCCAGCCGACTTCTGCCCAGGCTCTGGGCACGGGGACGCAGCGCTGACAGTTTTCAGCCCCCGCGCTGTTCCACAGAGGCTGTGATGTCACAAGGCCCTTGCCTGGCAGCCAGGAGATGGGCAAGGCAAGGCAAGGAAGGAGCCTCGGAGCCACCAGCACGCTGTCCCCAAAGGCTGGGCTGGCACAGAAGCCCAGAGTCCCTGAGCTTGGCAGAGACTTGTGAGATCAGCCGGGGTCCAGCCTACGCCCCATCCCCAGCACATCAAGCAGACCACGGCACTCAGTGCCATGGCCAGGCTTTGCTTAAACACCTCCAGGGACGGTGACTCCACCACCTCCCTGGGCAGCCCATTTCAATACCTAATCCCTGTTTCTCTCCAAAAAGTCCTGCTCCTGTCCCTGACAAACAGCCCCTGACAGGCAGGTCCTCGTGTCCTCTTGTCCTGTCGCCTGTTGCCTCAGAGAAGGGGCTGACCCCCACCTGGCTCCAGCCTCCTGTCAGGAAGTTGTGGACAGGGAGAAGGTCAGCCCCGAGCCTCCTCTTCTCCAGGTTGGAGAAACCCAGCTCCCTCAGCTGCTCCTCACAGGCCATGCACTGCAGACCCTTGCCCAGTTCCATTGCCCTGCTCTCCACCCACTGCAGCCCCTCAAGGTTCTCCCTGAATTGAGGGGCCCAGAGCTGGACACAGCACTCCAGGGGTGGCCTCAGCAGTGCCCAGTCCAGCAGAAGCATCACTGCCCTGCTCCTGCTGCCACACTCTTTCTGATCCAGGCCAGCCTGCCCTTGGCCTTCTTGCCCACCCGGGCACCCGCTGGCTCAGGTTCAGCCTCTGTCCACCAGCACCCCCAGGGCCTCTCCCACGGGGACCCTTTGCAGCTCCTCTGCCCCCGGCCTGGAGCTGCAGGGGGTTCTTGTGGCCAGAGGCCCCAAAGGCCCCAAAGGCACTCTTGAACCTCATGCCCACGGGCTCGGCCCAGAGGTCCAGCCTGTCCAGGTCCCTCTGCACAGCCTTCCTGCCCTCCAGCACATCCACACTGCAAGCCAGCTTGGGGTCCTCTGCCAATTTGCTCCTGGAAGACTCAATGCCCTCCTGCACATCCCACGAAAAATAGGCAACAGGACTGGGCCTGTTACCCAACAAGTTCTAGTGCTTGACAAAGGAGCCCACCCAGCAGTGGGGAGAAACTGCTGGCAGGAGATTGAATGGGGGCAATAGACAATGGATGATGGACAAGTTCTGGGCCATGGCCATTTGTTAGAAAAAAAAAGTAAAAGCTTAAGGCCTGCCATACTTCAGTGGTCATAGACCTGGCAGAGAAATCTCTTTTTGAGACCTGGACACCAAGAAGGCAGAATTTCTAAACCACAAAGACCCTTAGAGAAACCAGAGACGAAGACAAAACTAACACAGACAGTTACTGAGGCTCTCCCTATCTAGGGAAAGACAAGAAAAGGACAAAAATTGTGGACTAAGCATCATGCAAAGTGAGAAATCAAGAGCCAATAGAAGAGAGAAGAAGAATTCCTACAGAGAACTGGTAAGCCAAGGGACAGGAATTCCTTTGTCTGCTAAAATGTAGAAATAGTTAAAAGTTTTGAGAACTGATGTACAGGTGTTAGAGAGCAATTCCTGTGTCCCTTCAGCGCTGAATGAAGTAGGGTCACCTCTGGAACCCAACCAACTGCTCAGAGATTTTATTCCCCGGCTTTCACTGACAGTTTCTGGGGACCCAGATGAGACAAAGCAGCGCCGACAGGGCAGAGCAGAGGAATCGTTGGCCCTGCAGCGTGTACCAAAGGAGTTTTGGGGAGATCTTCCAGTTCCCTGGTCTGGAGAGTTCACCACGCCTTCTTTTCTGGGAAAAAGAACAGGCCATGAATTTTGGGGACTTGATTTTAAGGCCTTTTGCCAGCACATAAGGCACAGCAATGGGAAGGACACAGTGTGAGGCTGAGAGGTTTCTGTCATGGTTTGTGGGCTTGGGTGAGATTGGGCCATAATTACAGGACACCTGTAAAATCTGGGCTTTGGGAAAGGTTGGGGAGGGTTGGGAAAGGTGTTCAAAGGGTGGTTTTGCCTGAGGTGTTAAACATGGGAGCGGGTCTGTCTTCCCAATTCCCAAGAGAAGAGATCCCAGAAAGCTCCCCTGCAGGTTGTGTTTTAAGGCACAGGAGAAGAGACCGAGGGTAAGAGGTTTCTTTCCTGGAGGGAAGGGCTGTTGTTCACTTGCAGGAGCCCTGAGCTGAAATTGCCAAACTGAACACAGCTGAAGATTCCTGCCAGACAAAAAGGGCCAGCACAGAAAGCTCTTGCTGCCCATGGAGTGCCCAGGGTGGCCCCCCAACTGCATCTGAAACCCGAAGGTTCCAGGCTTTCTTTCCTGGGGGAAAGGCCGTGACATCCCAAAGAGTCCCGTGGCAGACAGGTGGGGCTGCACTGTGGGGGTGTGAGGTGTTGGTTCTTTGGTTGCCAGGGGCTATTCCAGAATGGAGAGGACAGGCTGTGACATCACAAAGGGGCCCATGGCACAGGGGTTGGGCTGCACTAGGGGCTGTGAGACATTGGTGTTTTGGTTTCCAGCAGCCATTCTGGAATGGAGGGGATAGGCTGCGACATCACAAGAGGGTCCATGGCACAAAGGTGGGGTTTCACTTTGGGGTTGTAGGGTGTTGGTTCTTTGGTTGCCAGGGCCCATTCTGGAATGGAGAGGACAGGCTGTGACACCACAAAGGAGCCCTTGGCACACGGATGGGGTTGAACTGTCACATGGTGGGGGCTTGGTTCTTTGGTTTCCAGAGGCTATTCCAGAATGGAGAGGATAGGCCAGAATGGATAGGACAACAAAAGGGCCCAAAGCACATGGGTTGGTCTGCACTGTGGTGTGGGGTGTTGGTTCTTTGGTTGCCAGGGCCTATTCTGGAATGGAGAGGACAGGCTGTGACAAGAAGTGCCTGTCAGAACTGCAAAGACGGACGCACAAGAATCTTATGTGGGCATATTCTCTGCTCTGCCCTGCACATCTTTGTGCTGGGGTCAAAACTCAGCCTCTCTGCTTCCCTCTCCTGAGGGACTTGTTCTTAGACATCCCTTTCCCCTGCGCTCCTTTCAAAAGCCCTCCTGGCAATTCCCAAGCCTGTACCCGGCTCTCATCCCCTCTCTGTCCTCTTCCCAATCCCCTGGTCAATCCCAACATCCCAGGACAGGGATCCCAGTTGCTTGGCTGCACTCCCACCTAGTTCCATATGCTGGGCCATGATATCCCAGCACTGGAGCAACCAGGTCAGCAGGGGCTCTCCCAGCTGGAGACTGAAATCTTTTCACATCTCTCACAGCTCAGCTGGGGATGGGGATCTGGTGATTATCTCTGGCCCTGCCTCTTGCTCCTGTTCTGAGGGCTCTGCTTCCCCTTCATCCCTCACTAACTGAGCTGATTTGGTCTTGGATTTCTTCTGTAGAGGGGCAACTGCTACTGGCACAGGTTGTTCCTCTGCAGTTTGAGTGGCCACGGTACCTCTTGGTCTCCTTTCCTCCTCCTCCCCCTGAGGGCACTGGGTCTTAGTTTAACAAGATTCCAACTTAGAAATTAAGAGACTTCAGGTGGAAGTGTGGAAAAGGAAAAGAAACAGCTTTTTATTAACCAAAATCTGAATAAACAACAAATGGTGCAACCAAAAACTTTCAGAAGAAACCAAAGAAAGTCCCAAATCCCCAGGTGGGGGGGAGAAACTGTCCCGGCAGTTCAAAGCTCTCGCAGCCCCGTGTGCTCGCAGCCAGCAGTGAAGGAGTCCCTTTTCCCAGGGGCAGTCCCCAAAGCAGAACACCTCGCTCCCAGATGGGTCGGGCTCTCTCTCTCTCTCTCTCTCTCTCTCTCTCTCTTTCTCTCTCTCGGTCGCTCTCCACAAGGTGTCCCGTGGGGAAAAACTTCCTCTCAGGAAAAGAGAACAAGGTGGCCAAAACCAGCTCCCGCTCTGTCCGGTCCCGGACAAACCCCAAAAGCCCCCGAACAAAGGACCCCCCGCCCTCCCCGCGGCCACCGCGGTGTCCCCGAGAGCCGCCCTCCCCCCACTGCCCCTGCCCAGCGCCTGCGGCTCCGCTCCAACCCACCCCATCCCGGGAGACACAGATGGCAATGGGGGGGACACTGGGAAACAATTCCAACACCTCTTTTCAAACCTCTGACACCTGCTTCCCAGACATTCCCAAAGAAGGGGCTTCCCGTGGCCTCGAGCCAGGGACCGACCTTTGTATTGAACCAACTCCTGGAGAGACACGTTCCCATCCCTGTCCCCATTCCCATTCCTGGGGTTCCCAGCCCTGTCCCCATTCCCATCCCTGTCCCCATTCCCATTCCTGGGGTTCCCATCCCTCTCCCCATTCCCACTTCCTGCTGTGCCAACCTGCTTCCAGTGTCCCTGTTCCTGTCCCCACTATCCCTATCCTGGTCTCCCATGTCCCCATTCCCATTCCCGGTGTCCCAATTCCCATTCCTGGTGACTCCAACCTGCTCCCAATGTCCCCATTCCCATTCCTGGAGTTCCCATTCCCATTCCTGCTGTCCCCAACCTACTCCCAGTGTCCCCAACCTGCTCCCAGTGTCCCCATCCCTGTCCCCAATGTCCCCATCCCAGTCCCCCCTGTCCCCATTCCTATTCCTGGTTCCCACAGAGGAACTGCCGGATGCTGGAGGAGGGAGCCAGGAGTTATTGCCCAAAGTAGGAGATTTTCACACCCAAATTAAAACCTCAGGAATAATTGTGGTCCTGGGTTTCACATGGGAAAAAGCAGGAAGTTGATCCATCAGGAAGAGCTGCAGGGGGGCCGGGGTGGGTGGGAGCAGCGGGATGAGCTCTGCCAGCAGCTCCTGCCTTTCCGCAGGGAGAGGGAAGGGACGGATCCAGCTCCAGGATCACTCAGGCTGTGATTCCTGCTGGGATGAGAGTGGGGAAAGGAGTCACCATGTCCCTGTTCCCATCCCAGGGGATGGATCTGGCTGTGGAGCCCAGGGAGAGTAGGAACTGCTCCGGATTCCCTCCTGATCCTGTTCTGTCCATCCCACCCCAATCCCACTCCAGAATCCAACCCTGATCCCAGTCCACAATTCCACCTGAGCCCACTCTGGAATCCTGCCCTGAGCTGGAATCCCCTTCCAATCCCACTCCAGCCATTAGGCCCCCATTCCCCTCTGGAATCCCGGCATCCATCCTGGGATTCCTGCCCAGAGGATCTGGATCCACACACGCTGCTGGGACTCACTGGTGGGCGCGGGGTCGTATCCATTCCCCTCCCTCTTCCCTATGGAAAGAAAGTGGGATCAGCACCCGTGGCACAGGATCCCCGGAATGCTGCCGGGCGGATCCGTGCCCCTTCCCGACCCCCATCCCGGGAGTTACCGGATCGGAGCTTCCAGACACCGACTCCCACGAGGCCGATGATGATGATGACGGACACAGTGTCCTAATTAGAACAGCTGGGACCGATTCCTCACTGGATGGGTGTAGCCCAAAAGTGTGGATTCTCTGGCCTTCCATGCCATTTTCCCAGGAACTGTTGTCAGGAGAGGCCTGCGAGGTGGGGGGGATGTCCTGAGCACCCTCATAGCCTTTTATGGACTGAGCATCCTCATAGCCTTTTATGGAATTCCCTGCAATGAGGGGAGGACTGATCATCCTTTTATGGAATTCCCCGCTGTGAGGGGAGGACTGGGCATTCCTGCCTGAACTGGAGAATATATAAACCTGGAGTTTCGGAACCTTTTTACCACTCGTGGGATCCGGAGGAGGACTGCAGTTCACCACTCTCAACCAGCCTGAGACCACCCCCCTCAACTGGACTGCAATCCCCACTTCTGACCAGACTGCAACAGCTCTCTCACCAGCAGGTTTTTTCCCCTCTCCCTTTCCTTTGGACTTCGGGGGGGCCCAAGGAACAGCACTTTGTTCATGGCCCAGGGTGCTGGGTTCTACATTTGGGTTTTGTGGATTAAAACCAATTGCTTGTCTGTATAATCAGACTTATTGGGCAAGGGGGGCCCAAGGGGGGCCCAAGGGGGGCTGAAGGGGGCTGGGCCAGGGGGAAAAAGGGCTGCAGAGGGCGGATCCTGGAGGAGGAAACCCGCCAAAAGCAGCGGCCCAGCCGAGGGAGGAGCCGAGCGGGAGCACAAAGAAGAGCAGCCCAAAGGTCCTGGCGGTGGCTCGGCAATGGCGGGGGGGGCGAGAGCGGTTTGGGGGCCCCCCGTGAGAGCCGGGGGGGAACCCCGGTAGCCGCGGAGTGGGGAGAGCGGAGAGGGGCGATCCCGGAGCTGGGGGACCCCTGGAATGCTGGAGGGGGGAGCAGAGAGGGAGCGCTGGGCCCCTTAAGCGGGGGTCCCGGAGAGGGGGAAGGCCTTGGAGTGTGGAGAGGAGGGGGGGCCTTGAGGCGGGGTGGGAGCCGAGAGCGCCAAGAGGTTTGCGAGGGTGGGAGGCGAGAGAGGAGGGCCGGCCGGCCCCGGGAGGCAGAGTGGGGAGAAGTGAGCCCTGGGACCCCCCTGGCAACACTAAAGGGGACCCCGGAGAGTGGGAACCCCCTGGAGCCGCGGGACCCCCGGCAGCCTGGAGAAGGGGGACCCCCAATGCAGGCAGAAGTGCCATCAGGCCAGACAGGGGGGACCCCCCTAACCCCGGAGAGCAGAGAGGGGGAACTCCTGGGAGGGGTTTTTGGACTGAATGTTGGTGTTTTGAGGGTTTTTAAGGACAGAAGATGCCCGGTGAGTCCTAGAGCTGGACTTGGGCTGGAGGAACCCCCAAGACAACGTGCTCACCCCTTGTTTTCCCCTCTAGCAGGATTTCTGCTTCCCAAAGCTTGGTCGGATGGAGGAGGAGGCTGCGCGGAAGAGGAAGATGCCGCGGGCCCCCCAGGCAGGTGAGGAGGAAGTCAGTGCCCCTTTGGGTCGGTCTTTTGTCTTTTGTGGCCGTCCTGCCGGGGCCGGAGTTGGGGGGATGTCCTTGGGCTTCCCTGTGGGCCGGAGGCAAATCCCCTGCGTGTCCTTGTTGCTTCCTGCCCTACAAGTGCTTGGAATGTGGGAAGAGCTTCAGCACAAGCCCCAAGCTGCTCAGCCACCAGCACATCCACACTGGGGAACAGCCCTACACGTGTAGGGAAGGTGGGACAGCTCCACCCTCTACACCCACCGTCGCCTCCACATCAGGGAGAGGCCCTTCCACTGTGGGGAGTGTGGGAAGAGCTTCAGGCAGAGCTCTTCCTTGACCTCCCACCAACGGACCCACCAGTAATGGAAGCCCCGAGTGCCCCGACTGCGGGAAGAGCTTCGGCCCCTGCTCCAACTCCATCAGCCATGGGAGGACCCGCGTTGGATGATCCACAGGGACCCCCGTTGGGCACAGACCTGGTGTGCTGGTTTTAAGGTAAACCAGCAGGGGAAATGACAGTGGGGACATCACGGGGACAGCGGTGACATCACATGGACAGCGGTGACATCACAGGGACATTGGTGACATCATGGGGATAGCGGTGACATCACAGGGACAGCGGTGACATCACGGGGACATTGGTGACATCACATGGACAGTGGTGACATCACGGGGACATCAATGACATCACAGGGACATCGGTGACATCACGGGGACAGCGGTGACATCACGGGGATATTGGTGACATCATGGGGACATCGGTGACATCACAGGGGCAGTGATGACATCACAGGGACATCGATGACATCACAGGGACATTGGTGACATCACAGGGACATTGGTGACATCACCGGGGGTTAATTTTATTGTGAAAATCTCCTGCTTTGGGCAATAAATTCTGACTATTCCTTCGGCATCTGGCAGTTCCTCCCTGGGAACCAGGAATGGGAATGGGGACAGGGGGAATGGGAATGGGGACACCTGGAATGGGAATGGGAACACATGGAATGGGAATGGGAACATTGGGAGCAGACTGGGAACAACAGGAATGGGAATGGAGACATCAGGAACTGGGAATGGGGGCACCTGGATTGGGAATGGGGACACCAGGGAGAGGGATGGAGACACTGGGAGCAGGTTAGGGACACCAGGAATGAGAATAGGGACACCAGGAATTGGAATGGAGACACCAGGAACTGGGATGGGAACACCTGGAATGGGATGGGAACAACTAGAATGGGATGGGAACACCTGGAACAGGAATGCAAACCCGTGGAATGGGAATGGGAACCCCCGGGCCCGGGCTGTGTCCCTGGTGAAACAGGAGGCCAGGCCCAAAAGAGTTCACGAAGAAATTTGGGCCTGCTAACAAGCTCCCAACATCCAAGACCATCTGTGCTCGTTCTGTTCTACTGACTGGAGCAAAGCTTCAGAGAATAGTACAGGAACATGTCCTAGGCCTCGAGGGGATAAATTAGAGAGACAGCAGGATCAGGGAGACATTGGAAGAGGAGGAATAGGCCGGGAGCCAGGGCATTTTCCAAGCTTCAGGGAGCGGGTCAAGAACAATGGAAGAGAAGGAAGGTCAAGGTGAGGAAGATGAGTTGAAGCCCCCAGAGCCATGGAGGAAGAGTGGAAGTCCCCTCAGGATTGAGGGCCAAGAGAAGCACCGCCCCAAGCCCCGCCTGAGCTCCACCTATACTCCGCCTATTCTTAATCTGCAGAGAGAGATGTTGGAATCACTTGAATATGCATTTAATCCCAGCTGAAGATTGTATAAAAATGCTGATTTTGTGTGAAGCCTTGGAGCAAGTTTGTCCAGCGCGAGCTGGCTTGCTCCCAACGTTGAATAAACAAATACCTGGCTGCTTAAAGAGAAAAAAGTCTCTGAGCAGTTTCTCGGACCGATTTTTCGGATTCAGCGCCCAGTCAGTCCCAGGACAATCCCAGTCACTCCTGGTCTCTCCCAGTTACTCCCAGTTTCCTCCATGTGGTCCCACTCATTCCCAGTTGCCCCCAGAAGCTTCCAGCAGGATCCCAGTTGCTCACAGCCACTTCCAGTCATCCCCAGTGCACTCCCAGTTGCTCCCAGGATGATCCCAATCACCTCCAGCATCATCCCACTCACTCCTGGTATGATCCCAGTATGACCCCAGTCACCCTCAGTGTGGTCTCAGTTGCTCCCAGCATGGGCCAAGCTGCTCCCACTGTGATCCCAGTATGATCCCAGTTGACCCCAGTATGGTCCCAGTTGCTCCCAGTTGCCCCTAGCACAGATCCAGTCACTCCAAGTATGATCCCGGTCTTCCCTCCTGACTGTCCCACTCAATCCCAGTTGCTTCTATTGTAGATCCAGTCACTCACAGTTCCTTCCAGTTGCCCCCAGCCTGGTCCTAATTCCCCTTCACGTAGTCCCAGTCATTCCCAGTACTGTCCCAGTCACCCCCACCATGGTTGCAGACACTCCCAGTATATCCCAGTAGAGCCCTCAGCATGCTCATAGTCCTTCCCAGTCACTCCCAGATGCCCCAGTAACATTCCAGTTTCCCCCAGTATGATTCCAGTGACTCCAAGGCCCTCCCACTATATCCTATGTGGCCTCCAGTTGCTCCCAGTATGATCCCTGTTGCCCCAGTTCTGGTCCTGGAGGGTCCCAGTGTGCTCAGATCCTGCTCCCGGGGGGTCCTGCTGGGTCCCAGTCCTGGTCCCGGTGTATCCTGGTGTCCCGATCCATTCCAGTCTGTCCCAGCCCATCTCAGTCCATTCCAGTCTGTCCCAGAGCATCCCATTCCATCCCAGTCCATCCCAGTCCATCCCAGACAGTCCCATTCATCCCTGTCCATCCCAGTCCATCCCAGTCCATTCCAGTCCGTCCCAGTCTGTCCCAGTCCATCCCAGTCCATCCCAGTCCATCCCAGTCCCTTCCCAGCAGCCGCCGCCGTTTCCCGGGTCCTGCCCCCCCGCCCCCCCAAGATGCTGACGGGGGTCGGGGCTCCGTCTTTGCCTTCGTCTCCCTGGGCCTGCCTGGAATGAAGGGGCCGCTGGGACACTGCGGGACCTCCTGAAACCAAAGGAACCCTGGGAGAATTTGGGTACTCCTGGAATCAAGGCACAACTGGGACACTGCAGGGCCCCATGGAAAAAAGGAACCTTGTGACACTGCGGAATTCATGGAATCCAGGGACCTTTGTGACAGGGGGGCCTCATGGAACCAAAGGAAGCCTGAGGTGTTTCAGAAGGTCATGGAATCAAGGGGCCACTGGGACACTGCAGGGCCTCTGGCAATTAAAGGAACACTGGGACACTGGGGCAGGACATCCCCCCTGCAATGGCCCCAAGACAATGCCCCATTTGCAAAGGGGTCAGTGCTGAGCTGAGAGGGGGTCAGGACAAGGCAGGAGATGTTGGACCCCAGACTGGTTTGACCCCAAATGAAGCCCCTGATGGTGAGGGAACCCCTGGAGTCCAAGGACTGTCAGTCCATGGGTTTCTACCAGAAAGGGCCAGTCCCCTTTCCCAGGGGCAGGTTCTTCCA